ATTCTCATATGTTATAAAGCGACTTAAATGGTTTAAACTATTATAGTTTAGAATTTAATAGATTGTAATTCCTAATAAGTTAAGAATGATTAAGTTCCCACACGATTGTTTTTTTCCCTGTTCTTTCATTTGATATTCCCGCATTCCACGATGCTAATCATCTACTTATCCATCCTTGAAGCCAACTCTTTATTCCTAGAACTCTTACACTTTGATTGTACTTCCCACGGTGGCTAATTTAAGCACGTGACTCACCGCTTGTTATGTACCAATTCCCAACTGTAACTGCAGAAACGTAGCCGTAATATATATGTATTTATTAATATATATATATAAACACAAAATCTTATATAACTCCAAGGGAGTATCAATGTTTATCAGGTAGACAGCTGCCGAAAAAGCCATATAGAACCGATTTTAAACCTTGGTTATCGGGGTAAAGTTTAGTTGTTAGAAAGAGGCGATTGATAGCTTTTTCGCTTTTCCCCTTTTCTATATTTTTATATATATATATATCTATATATAAAACCTAAGCAATAAATGGATCAACACACTATCTCCTTAAAGCTTATAGTAACACGCGAAGCGTCATAAAACTACGTAACCTTAATAAAAGTTCTAACTTAGAAGCCCTAGTACTATCGTGCCATTCGGGGGTGCTTAATAAAGTTGTAAATTTGACGTAAGACTGAAGCGTGCGAACCCATCCAGATGGTATATTCGGTTTGCGAGATCTTTTTTCTTTTTTTTTTCTTTTTATTTTGTTTCGGAGCCGTTTGGCAGCGGGTGGGAAAACAACCAACATACACACATACATATAAACTGATTTATGTGTTGGCTGAGGGTCTGTCTTGACGTGCTTTGTTAAACACACCTCTAGACGGGTCAGAATTAATTAACAACTTTACAGAGTTGTCCGCGACTAGATGCGAGATTGGATAGAACCTTCATTAATCTCGACTCCCGTCTTTGATTAATTCGTTCCCTACCCATCCTTGTACTGCGATGAAATAACCTAATTCCGAGTCTAAAGAATTTGCACTAGCTATACGATAACGTGTTGACGCTTTCCCTATATATATATATATATAATATGTATGTATGCGTGTGTATGTGTGTGTGTCTGTGTGTCTGTGTGTGTGTGTGCGTCTGTGTATTGTGGATATCATATTACTTTGCAGTCTATCAAGTGAACTGAGAAAAACCTCGGGGGGAGATATAGAGTAATCGGATGCCAAATCTGACACAATGGCAGCTTAAAGTATTCCTTTTAGCCGATCAAACTGCTTATTGTTGTTTGGTGAAGCGGTAAAAGTTTTATACTAGCGAATGGTTATTTATAATTTGATCAGCTGTAAAACTTTTATGAATAGATTCGAGTCGATTTTATAATTACTTTGATGATTAGGATCGTCTTCTAACTTAAGTTTCGTGTTTAAGATAAATTCTTTTTTCTTTATTATCATTATATTTGCAATTTTATTCTTTTACGGTTATTATCTCTATTTAATTGTCTTTCCCCATTTAATTTTCTTAGAATAAAATTTTTCTATATTCGCTTATATGTTATAATTATCTCGTAGCTATTGTAAACATCATTTTGAACTTTCAGTAAGTTTTCTAAGGCATTTTGATTTTCTGTTAGCATATAATGCGCATCTATTTGTAGCGTTATTGACGTTTATTGATAGAGAAAAAAGTAGCATTATAAGAGAGAAGGAAATGTGATGAAGTGAAAGTTGGCTTCTTCCTGTTGCTAGCTTTCTCTCATCGCATCTACGGAGAAAAATTTCAAGATAAACAAAAGTGTCGAATATGTTAGTGTGAATGAGTCCCGAAGCGTCTTGTTTCGTGCTTAACTAAACACGAAACTATTATTTTAAGTTGTCACAGGTGCAGATGGGACAACGTTGCACCGACTATTAGCCAGCTAGAAAGGGAGAGTATAGAAATTAGCTTTGACTCCAGAGAACCGAGATAACAGGGATTTTAAACGATGCCATAGAAAGCAGTTTCGAGTGCGAGTGTTTAGTGTAAAACCGCAAGACATTCTTTAACATCGGCCTCTGAGACCCTGCCACACACTAACGGCGAGAAAATGGCCAAAACGTGTTTTGCAGATAAGAATCCCTGCTGGCATGGCTTCTACTGACAGCCTGACTTATTGCCTTCAGCAACACCCCTAGTGTCTAGGGAAAGTTGAAGCAACTACTAAAGGGGTTGTAGAATCCGTTGTGTGAGAGTTTTGTCTCCATAGTTGAGATTGATACTCGGGTGAGGGGTTAATTTTTCACCTAAAGGCTGTTCCTCGGCTATTTAATTTCTGTTAATGACTTCTAGTCCGATGTCCGCAGTGCATCCTCCAGGAACAGAAAAGATTGAGAACGACTCCCTCGAGTATATACTTATGGGTCCTGTTGAGTTATCTTCTACATCCATTTACCTTATATTTGGATAATCAATTTAGTTACATTGCCCATCATCCCTGGGCATATTTGTGAATTATTAGCTAGAGAAGAGAAGTGAACGCCTCGTTCCCAAGATTCATTTAAATTTAAAATATTCAAACCACCCAAATGTTGATGGTGATTAATGCTCTCCCTTTATATATAACGTGGTTTCCATCTTTAAACTATTTTCTCCATTGTCCCGTTATTGTCTTAAACATTCGTCTACGGCAAAACTATAAAAATATCTTTAGTCATCTCGACATTAATTAAAGAATTTTTCCAATTAAACCTTTAATCCGTTGATTGCAGCCATTTTTAACTAGCTCACACCGAGTTTTAGCTAATTAAAAACTTCTTCATCAGAAAATTTGTCAGAAAATAAAGAAAAGATGCTCCAAAAAGTGTTCACTTCATAAAATTACAATCAATACGTCATACGATGCCCAGAAACAGTCTTTATTGAAGCTTAGCCCCATAACAAACCTTCGGGCGAAGAGTCCTGTTACGTGCACAGCTTGTAAACAACACGTCACTTGAGGTTTAGGGTTATAGCTGAAAAAAACGGCGAAGTAAATATTTGTAGGCAACGTAATCAGCTTGTCCCGGAAGAGGACTGCAAATTGGTCAGCATAAAAAGGAGTTAATCGCTGCACGGGTCTCAGATATCACCTCCTGATTAAGACAATTTTCACGTCAAAATCCCTTCCAGAAATCCCATACTTCGTAACATCGATCTGGTTCTTTGCTTCTTCTCCTCTTTTTATGAAAAAGAAACGAAAATTGGTGGGTGGAACATGAGAAGTACCTGTTGCTGAGCATGTCTGTGGCTTTTTACTCACTTTGTTCTTCAATAATTGGCAATAGATCCGTTGACAATGTCTAAGTTCCATATGTAATCTGCATAGGGTTGCTTTCGCCCCCCTTACCACCATAAAAATATCGATTTTCTTGTCTGTTAGGGGAGGAATTTGATTCGATCCCCTCATCAATATGCCACATTAGACAATAGACTCTTTTTTAAACCCTACTATATATTGGTGAGATGCGTGTTATCAACTCGAAATCGCACGTTTTGTTAGCATCGCTCCTCTTAGTTGACGACATTCTGAATAATATTATCTTTATTTCTTTGAGTTATGCTTTGGTAAGCGTTATTCTAGCTATAATTGTATTTCTGAAAGAAGAAATGATGATAGATTTTGCTTCACAAGTCCAATTTTTTAAATTAGAGCAGCGAATTCGTTGTATTTAGACTTTGTCGGAAGTTTAAATTTTAGATTAAGATATAAATTATCTATCACACACTCTTATAGATCTAACGAGTTATTAAACAATATAAAAGAATTGCACAATTTAAAATATCTTAGGATATTTCAATGATAAAGACACATAAATCATGCACGCATCCACATTTATATGCCAATTCAACAATGCATGGTAGACCAACATCCGAAGAGCAACTGGTATAAGTTCTTCACTCAATTAAAGTTGCAAAAAAAATAAGAAAAGTTTGAGATGGATAAAAATTTTCATAAAACTTCAATATCCTTTTTTTTATATTTGGAAATACTCCCTGACGAGGATCTCTCAATATAAATAAAATGTTTTAAAGAAAAACAGAAGAGACGAGTATTCAGTCAATGAATATAAAGGAAAGACAGCTTCAGTATATTCATGCTGCCAAATTGACAAGATTTCACACGCAGTTGACGTCTGCCAGATAATCTCCCTTCTCTCACTATATAGAATTTTTAAGTTTCTCACTTGGTTCTTTGCATACGTGATAGGAGTTGATCTGTAGAATGAGGTTAGCTGTCTTTTCTGCTATGTTTTCTTGATTTTTCTTTATACGTTTTTGCACAGAATAAAGCTATTGCCATTATAACAACCGTAAGAGTAATAGAGTTTTCCTTTTTTTTTTTGAAGTTCATTCGTTATGCATCTTTTCTATAGGGCCACCCTTCTTTGGACCGTATCGAATTTCGCTCTAAATATAGGTCCCATACCCTTAAATAATATAAGAAAAAATGGTTGTAGCACCAAGTTGATGCGATTTTTTTATGGTGTAGATCAAAGATCTAAAAGTTTTATTAGTTTCGCGAAAAGTAAATTTTTAAGTAAATATTTGCAAAAAAAAACAATGTTCTTTCTTTTATATGTATACGAAAATATAATAATTTAAAAAAAAATAATATTAACTCTACTAACGTGTTACGGTTATTATACTAAATTTTAAATTTGTAATCACGTGACAAAAACTAACCCGTTACAAAACACGTGAATGTAATCTCGCTCTTTGTTACGTAATTACAAATTTTAAACAAATGAATATCTAAGAGTTAAAATAAATTAACTCTTAGTAAAAATTTAGGCCAAAGCATACTCCAAACAAAACTAAGTTCTATGTTTGAATGAATGAATCATTTATGAATCAGTTCAATTTGATTAACTTGATATTATTTTGAGCTGATTTCGTAGATAACATAGGCTTAAGGTCGGTGGAGGAATGCCATGTTCTGTCCGACGTAACTGGCCTCTCTAACCATTCAGTTCCAGGCCTGGAAGACCACCGAAACGTGCCACCATGGTTGGACTCAATCATAGCCCTGCCAATCACAACATGCTCTTGAAGAAATCTCGTTTGGACTCCGACTATTCCAGCTACGAAAACGGACATATCACAGGTAAGAACTCCCTCATTCACTTTTTAATTTACTACCCAATTAGCATTTTATTTAATAAATGAATTCGTATAAATATATACAAAATTCGAATATTATAAATACCATATCTACACGACGTTTTTACTACTTTAAAGGTCATTTTCCTCATTAAAATCTTAATAAACCTATATTAAAATATTCAAATTTGTAGATATAATTATCATTTTTTATATTTATAAACTATATATATATATAGGTTAAATAGATATACTTCGTATAGAAAGGATTATATTTAGTCTTAAATGAAATTGATATGAGTTTCTTACGAGGAACAACTTGAAGATTGTTAAGAAATATATCATTAAAATTGCTACTTGATCAAAGCTTGTTTTTATGAATTTTTAGTATCGCTTGTAAAAAATGAACTTTTTTTTTCTTTATTTTTATCAAAAATTGTCTATTATCTCGAAGTTTCGATTATCTTAATAGGTAGAAGAATCGCAGTAGTTTCAATAACGATAAAGAAGTACCAAAATCTCTCGAGATAAAGGATCAATTTATCGCTTTCTGACAAAGAAATATGATTAAAAAAAAAGATAATTATTTTAAAAATCATTTTATAGATATATCAAAATTTTATTTGAAAATAAATTAAATCAATAAAAATAGATAAATTCACGGTTACTTTGATCGGAAAGCTTTACTCAAGAGATATTAACTTACATTTTCTCTTTTCCAACTCGATTAAGTAGATGAGATTTTTTTTAAATTTACAAAATTCTAAACAAGAGAAACTCTTTAAAATATTAAAACTTGTTTTATAATATTTCTGACAATTATTCGTAACAAATTAATCTAAAATAAAATTGCATGCCATTTTTTTTTTTTAGTGTAGCATTTTCTTATCAGTTATAAATCTTAAAAGAGTTTGTTGTAACGATTTGTAAAAATTATAAGATATAAAATTTAATTTTAATTTTTAAATGAATTTTAAATTAGATAATGTACTGAAAAAAATGCAAAATAAGTATAAAAATTAGTTAAAATTATTCAAAAATCTTCATTTGAATAGATCTTTGAGAGTTTTAATTATTTCTTCNAATAGTGGGTCTTCTTATTCATGTCTTGTATGTTGTTGAAATGTTGAATGACAAACGAAGAATGCTTCCATTATTCTCGTTAGACATATGCCAGCTTTTAGGTGATAATGTTTTAATTCGCATTTTAGACAGTAGATAAATTAACGTATATATACGCATAAAAAAAGTAAGTGTAAGAGTTTATAAGTGCAACAAATTTCCTGTTGTTACATTTCTACACCATTATAACGTATAATTTTCAGGATTATGCTGTATGTAGAAGGAAGAAGGATATAAAAAAATGTATGTATTTTAACTGTAGCAATTGTCTATTGATAATAATTGACTTAAAATCATTACCGTTTCTACCCCAAGGCGATCCTTTTGTATGTTGTTTCTATTGCCAATGACGAATCGTGTAGGTGGCTATCGGACTGAAAACACAAATAACTATCAGGTTATTACCGAGCTTCCTTTATATCCTGCGGGTAAATATTGTTTCCCCATTCTTAGTTTTGACATGATATCGTGGCTATTGTTCGCTCACCTGTAGTTTTACAAACCACCAATTATACTTGCGCTTATCCGTTTTTATCTAATTAGTCTATAAAGTGTGGACACCCGTTTTGAGCTGTATAGTTTTTAACTGGGTTCCAAATGACAGATATTTCCGGTTAAATGTTCCGTTATACGAAGATATATGTTTATATTGACTTTGCAGCTGACTTTTTAAATACAAAATGATAACTAGGCTCTTTAATCTTATCGTAAGTTTGTGTGATGCTGCATTCGAAATTATACTTTTATCTCAAGTTTTTACGTAGATCTGCGAATTTAATATGCAGGCCTGAAGGAAACCTTTGATAATTACGCTTAAATTTTTATTATTACAAAAATTTAGAAGTGTAAAGTCTTGTTGATAATCGGTGGCGGGTTAGGGCCTATCTTTTAATCGTTTGCTTGGGCCTCCAAGTTTAAGAAGTCCCAAACAGAAGTAATTGTATAATAAATCCTATTGAGAGGCCTTAGAATTAGCTAGTACTTAGGACCTCTAGATGTATTGATTTGCCATTGACAATAATTAGGCCTTGGAAATTGAAAGTGTTATTAACAAATTTATCAGTTAAGAATACGGAAAATGGCAATTTTCATATGACATTTGAGAAAATTTCTCCTAAAAATTATTTTAATTCAAAAAATTCACAAGTATTTTTATTATACAGATATAAAATGTTATAATTGGAGCGCGCAATTATCAATTATTATTTTCTAGAAAACAGTATTCCAGTATGATTGTGTTTGTGTGGTTTATGTATATATAAACATTATATTTTCTTATAGAAAGTGGGTTAGAATTGTATGATCGAAAGTGATTAATCGAAGAATTTTACATATTGTCAACAAAGAAAATCGAATTATTTTGCTTGTACTACCGCAAATACACGAGTAGTCGAGAAGACGGTTTGAAGATGGAGTTTAAATAACTAGAGTCAACAACAGTAAAGTGTGGGAAAAAATAACAAAATCAAATTGTTTTGCTCTTTATGATAGCTTCGGGCCAGAGTGTTATTTACTAATAAATTTTAAAGAGCAAAAGAAAAAAAAAAAGAGGAAAAAGAAAATGTTTGACTTGATATAGAAGAGTTTCTAATTGTCCATTGGCATGACGCTTTTGTCAATATTAAACCACAGAAAAAGAAGTCGGCTCTTACACTAATATATAATTCATGATAGGAAAACGTGTATTTTTGACAGTTCATCTGTACAAATGGCAAACTTGAGAAATCAAATATTATATTTAAAAAAAAAAAAAATATATAGCATTCATAACTCATACTCTTGTCAGAAAATTTATCTTTTGAATACCTTTTTTTTCAAACTCTAGCAATAGAAATTAATGCACTAAGAGTAAAGAAAGGATATGTTATATTAATAAATCACTTTTTTGCTGTTTGTTGATGGAGTGTGCGAGAGGGAAGAGCATCGGTGCCCTTTATAGAAAAGGATAGGGTGGTTAGACTCGATTGGTGATGGTGCACCGTTGGAGGTCTACTCAGCCGCTGAATGCGACACAAAAACGTCATAATTCTGGCGCCCACCTCCCCGTGTTTCGACTGGTTTCTTTGTTTCGGATCGGTTCATTACACCACCCCCAGCTCCTTGCGGTAATCAATAGTCGATGCTAGAAAGAGGGGGGTGCGCGTGGACAGGAAGCACAAACATAACATATCCGGAACTTACCTTAATTAATCCGTTACTTATAAATGAGTAAAAAAAAAAAATGTAGAAAATCTAGCACACTTTAAGTTTTCTCAAACAAAGGATAAAGCGATAAAATTATATCTCACTATCCTACAGAATAGGTAAGTTAATAGCGCGATTGCCCTAAAGGAAAGTAAGAACACCAGATGGCAGACGGTACCTGTGTTGTTACTCGTAGGTAGAAAGGGATTTATCAATCTACAAAAACTACCTCGCTAATCAATAGAGATATACTAGCATAGAAACACATGTAGGCCCTACATCGTATCGAGTTAGATTTTTACAAACTCAACTCTAACTTCAAGATAACTTGTTAATATCCGGATACAACAGATGATAGCTTACTTTAATAGGGAGAGGGGGGTTTAAAGAAAGAAGAGCAGGAAAGGGGGGAAATATATATCAAAAGTGAACAATTTATCACAGAGTTAGGCAAAGTCGCAAATGAAAGAAATTCTCTTTAATCCGCTTTTTAGACACGTTCTCTAAGAATAGTGGGTCTTCTTATTCATGTCTTGTATGTTGTTGAAATGTTGAATGACAAACGAAGAATGCTTCCATTATTCTCGTTAGACATATGCCAGCTTTTTAAAGAGAGGACTTAACAACAGGAGGCCAGATTCCACAAGTACGTTATCCGGATCTTCAACTTTTAAAAATATAATAATATATATATATTATTCAGATGCATAAAATTAAAATTAATAATTACTTTTTTTGAGAGTTTCTCCAGTAAATTATAAATATATAATTTTATTTTTTTATTGTCTAGAATCATTAAAGTTAATTACAATTAATATAAATTGTTCGTTACAATTAACAATAGATGACATTTAAAAACCGTTTCCTCTATAGTTAACATTAATTGCTTCTTCTACTGTTAACAGACGGAAAGAACTAATACGTTGACGCTTTTCTAGAAAGCATTAAGAGTCGATTTTGCGAGAGGGTATCCTAACTATAGGGCAATATTCGTTTGAGAAATAAGAATCGGACGGAAAACAGTGCCACACCGGATGTATATACGCACTTCCGAAACGGTGTTAATGTACTTCCTGTAGACATAGTAACTCAGATAGAGGTCCTTATTGATTCAAGACGCATTTAAGAGCGAGTTCTATCAAACAATAGTTTATACAGCATAATAACTGTTAAATGCCGATACGTCATCATCATTTATAACTATTGTTATTATTATTGCTTCGCTTCGATTATTAATAAATCGAATCGATTATTCGTACAAATTTCTTTAAATATGCATATTAGAATACCCGAAAGCAAATTTTACGAATATTTGAATATGTTATTTATAAAATTGTCCTTGAACAAATGCATAATTTCATTTCTTATTGGTTTACTCGATCGATTTTCATTGTTCCGAAGCATTTAAGTGCATCTATCTCCTAGAATAAAGTATTTTTAAAAAGGTTTTTTTATATAATCCAAACTAGTTTTAATGTATTTTATGTCTTCATCATCATAGATTAATTTTATTTATGTTCTTTTTCTTATTTCTACACGTTTTATATATAAAAACCTGGCATCATCGTTAACGTCCTTGTTAACTTTATAAATTGTGGGTGTTTCTGCGTTATGTGGGCTATTTATGGCAACTTTTTGAGACATCTGTAGGCCTAAAATTGATTAAACTTGCTTGAATTATAGGTCTACTTTTAAATT